CAGATATGTGTGAGACAAGAGCTGGTTAAGGTCTACTTGTTTGTTTCTAATATATTGCATTTTTATTACGTCGAAAACAAACTTTACTTCGCTTTATATTTGGTGTTCTTTCCTTTCACGATTTCACCACAGGGTCCCGAACCTTTGGAAAGCGTCCGAGGAGCCGAAGCCAACTCACAGAGGCCCGTTGAAAAGTTTTAATCTAAATGTGTTGGGACATCAGCCGGCAATTATCCCTGTATGCACTATAAAAGTGCATCCAAGGACAATCCCCGGTTGATGCAGGACTGTTGTGAAATGTGGTAAAAATTGATAGGGTTATAGATATGGGTTGCTATGGACTGGTGGATATGATAACTATGGAAATACTATGGCCCCTGCCACTGACCAATATTGATACATACGGATAAACAGGCAGGGGGTGACTGGCAAACTCAATTAATGGGCCCACTGAAACGGTCGCTAGCATGTTGCGACACGGGGGCAACATACGTTGAGCTGCTTGGGGAAGGAGAGGCATCCCACGGCTATCAGAGCAATCCCGGAAGTACGTTATTATTAACGTTATTTCTTATGGCATAGGTCAGCAAACGAGCTTGTGGATTCATCATCATCATCATCATCAGCCTATAAGTGCCCACTGCTGAGCAAAGGCCTCTTCTCACACGGAGAAGGTTAGAGCATTAATCACCACGCTTGCTCAATGCGGGTTGGTTAATTTCAAACTTATAATTAGAAATTATAAGTCCAGGTTTCCTCACGATGTTTACCTTCACCGTATGTCAGTGGTGTCTAAATAATCATAGAAAGTACATATAACTCGGAAAAAGTCACATTGGTACTTGCCAGGTTTCGAACCCGCACCCTCATGCATGAGAAGCGGGCGCCTTATCCTCCGGGCCACCACGACAACCTTGCGGATTACCTGATGGTAAGTCGCCCATGGACACTCGCAATACCAAAGGAGTTACTACAACTACAAGGCAACGCACTTGTAGCATAGTATAAAGCTTCTCTTTATTATCTTCTTCTCTTTATACTATGCTACAAGTGCGTTGCCGGCCTCTTGTGGGTTATAAGGTATTAAAGGATAGAGAATTTGAGAATTGAATATAGGGGAAGGATTAGGACTTCAGTAATCTCACTTATACGGCAAAACACAGATACATAGCATATAAACAATTATCAAAATCGGTCAAGACGTTCACGAATGATACTATGGCCAAGGGAAATTGATATTTATTTATACAAATATACATTTTGAAGAATTTAAGAGATCTGATTTCATCATCATCATCAGCCGGAAGACGTGCTGGACAAAAGCCCTTAGCTCTTCACGTCGAACGACTTGTTGCCACCTACATCCATTGGCTCCCCGCGACTCTGACGATATCGTCGGTCCACCTAACGGGAGGCCTGCCCACACTACGTTTTCCGGTCCTTGGTCGCCACTCTAGCACTTTTCGGGCCCATCGACCGTCCGTCTTTCGATCGACGTGGCCTGCCTATTGCCACTTTAGCCTGCAGATTTTACGAGCTATGTCGGTAACTTTGGTTCTTTGGCGAATTTCCACATTTCGGATTTTGTCGCGCAAAGAGACCCCGAGCATAGCCCGCTCCATCGCGCGCTGAGCGACGCTATGCTGCGATGTGCTTTAAGATCTAAGTAATTAGACTTAAAATAATTAAATTCCTTTTCATCGAGTTTGTTGTTGGCTATTTTATAGAGAAACATAATGTCGTACACCAATCGCTTATGACGTAGAGTCTGCATTTCAAAGCAGTCAATACACTAATAATATGGACAACGTGGAGTGGTAAAAACTAAATTTCTTTACTTCAATTCAATGACCTCGTAAGCCCCCACAACACAAAAAAACCCGGTGATATCCCATACCCTCTAACAAAAAACCCATATCATATTATCATCCCATCAATCCCTTTTTTTACCTGCCCGAGAATCAAACAGGTGTGTACAACAACACCTGTCATTCCATTCAAGTCATGATGTCATTTATTCAAGCGTTCACTTGATTTGTCATTGTGTAAGTTGTGATCAGAGCTTAAGTAATTACTATTTGTAATTGTAATTAAGTTGTGAAACTTAGTGCGTCTTTTTTATGTGATGTGGTTACCTGATGGTTACAATTATTAGAGGAGTTATGAGGTTTTCGGAGATTTGGGGATTAGGGTGGGATTGGGGAAGTGAAGAAAGTTTGGTCAATCTTATAACTAGAAGTTTAGGTTTTCAGGTTTCCTTATGGTTTGCCATTCTAAAGAAACTTAGGAAGTACATAGAACTCGGAAAAAGTTATTGGTACTTGCTAGGGTTCATAGCCTTGCCTTCATCTACTACCATAGAGTCGAACCATAACGACACCTATCTATACTTATATTATAAAGAGGTAAAATTTGTAAGTTTGTATGTAGGCGGTAATCTTTGGAAGCACTAGTCAGATTGCCAAAATTCTTTCACTTACTGACAGCTACAATGTTTCTGAGTGCTATTGGCTATAAAACATTACGCTACAATCAAATGGAGCCAAGCAGGGAGTGCTAGAGTAACCGCGCGGGAGTACCTAGCTAGTTATTAATATTATAAATGGGAAAAATAATGAAAAGAAAGAAAGGTGATTTAATGATACGAGTAAGTGAAGCCGCGGTTACCATCTAGTGTAATAATATAATAATATCAACTTCATGAAGGTCATGGAATGAAACCAGTATATTCAGTTGAGGAGATTGCAACAAAAAGACGAACAAACTCCACATACAGAGACGCCTTTACGGGTTGTGGGTTGCATTAATTTCATTATATGTACCTATATTGATTTTTTTACTACACGCATTAAAACGTCTTAAAGCACTACCATCTGTCAAGCTAATTTCAATCTTAATGACTTGTTTTGAACTTTGATAGGAATAAAAATTGTATGCATCGCCAAAAAATAATTTCTTCTCCTTTTAAGGTTGATTTTCCTTTGACTTAGCTTAAAGTATATACACGGGCGTAAATTTAGTACGATTCGAAACACGTTTTGGTCAAAAGAAAAAAAGATGTTTTGCAAAACTCAACGCGTATAGGCGAGACTGATTCTTAAATTTTATTTACTTTTATTATGAATATCACTGGTCGGTTTGTTCATTTCTAAGTATAAGCAAAGATGTTCCTTTTAAATTTAATATTAATGTGTGTGTATTTGTGTTACGTGTGACAAGTCCACACTAGGATTTTTTTATCACGTGTCGTGAAAAATAAAATCCTAGTGTTGTCAACACATATATACAAATTCAAATACACAAGACACCCAGACCCGAGACAACAATTAGTGGAACACACAAAGAGTTATTCCGAGCGGGAATCGAACCCGCGACACGTCGCATAGCTGCCAGTTGTCCGGTCCCTGCGTGACAGCGTGACCATGCAATCAAGGTATAGATAAACCAAAGTCTATGTAAGTGTAAATCTTTAAAACTACGCAACAGATTTTGCTGCAGTTTTTTCGTATAAATAGAGTGATTGAAAAGGAAGGTTTATACAATACATGTTTAATAACAACTATGAAATAGTTGGAAAATTTAGTATCAAAAGTAGAATCATTTCACCCGTGCTAAGCCGGGGCGGGTCGCTAGTACCTATATATGACTCATACAAGGATTTTGAAAGGGCGATGATGTCACAGTACCTACAGCCAGTCACTGTCTTTTTACTAAAGAATAACAGATTATGTAAATTATATGCACCAGTGTTAAAAGGACAACTGCCCGGAGAGAGCGCTGTGGCTTTACGATCTTTAATACAAAACTATTTTAGTTTTAAAATTTAACAGATAATACCTACATGACAATATATTGGACCAAGGCTCCAGTGTTGTATGTAGTGTTGTATCATGGACGGAGATATTTTAGTTTTAGAATTTAGGCTCTGCATATTGCATATTACAATAAGTCTCCCCTTAATAGACGGAAAATAGACTTTTCTCTAGACGACTTTTCTCGAGGAAGGAAAATCATCCAATGACTCTTCTTCCCACGTTCGGTGGAGAAAGAGGGAATGACTATTACTGACTAAAATCCACCCCGTTCATTTTGCCTCTCCTTTAGAGGCACCCTCGACCGACCACGAAGCGAAAAAGACAATTTTGAAACCTGGGTTGCTTATTTTTTATAAGCTTTTATATAAGCTTTTGCCCGCGACTCCATTCGCGTGGAAAAGTGACTTCCTGCAGATATTTGGTATAAATACTATCCTATGTCCTTTCTCGAGTTTCAAACTAAGTCACTACCAAATTTCACAGAAATCGGTTCAGTAGTTTAGGCGTGAAGAAACGACAGACAGACAGACAGACAGAGTTACTTTCGCATTTATAGTATTATTAGTATATATAGTATAAATAATACGTGTCCTATACGCCTTCACTAATTTAAATGTTTTTTTCTGTATGCGCTTGAGTGGCGCCCTTCTTGCTTTAGATTTACAAATCAGCCCGGCAGATGGCGCTGATTGCTTGAAAAACCATGTGGTCTCGGAAACGTCCCTAATGATTTCGCTTAAATTTGATGTGAGGGGTTTTTGGGGAGGGTCCGCTAGTATACATATATATTTTTAGCTTCTCAACTACTTTGGAGATTAAAATACATTTAAAAAAAATTAAAGGCATCGAAATATTTACAGAGAAAATTAATCCGGACACATTTAGCTTGCAAGATATTTACATCAAACAAGAAGAAGGTTGAATACCGACAATTGCTTAGTAATTTCTGAGATGGCGTCATCCACACATACAAACACTTTGTTTTCCACTTGAAGGCTTTAATTTATGCAGGCGCTAAGCATATTGATGTGCAAACTAGATTGTCAAGGCTTGCCACATTTTAAATATGTTTTTGTATCGTCCTCAATGAGAAAGCTAAAGAATAATATAAAATATAATTGCTTAGCTAAAGTTTTAATTATTATTTATGTCTAATTAGATGTACCTAAGTATTTCTATGCCAATTTAACAATCTTTGCGAATAAAATGTGAAATATCTTCGCCTTCGCCTTCGCCTTCGCCTTCGCCTTCGCCTTCGCCTTCGCCTTCGCCTTCGCCTTCGCCTTCGCCTTCGCCTTCGCCTACATCTTCTTCTTTGAATTCGCCTTCGCCTTCGCCTTCGACTTCGCGTTCGCGTTCGCGTTCGCGTTCGCGTTCGCGTTCGCGTTCGCGTTCGCGTTGGCGTTGGCGTTGGCGTTCGCCTTCGCCTTCGCCTTCGCCTTCGCCTTCGCCTTCGCCTTCGCCTTCGCCTTCGCCTTCGCCTTCGCCTTCGCCTTCGCCTTCGCCTTCGCCTACATCTTCTTCTTTGAATTCGCCTTCGCCTTCGCCTTCGACTTCGCGTTCGCGTTCGCGTTCGCGTTCGCGTTCGCGTTCGCGTTCGCGTTCGCGTTCGCGTTGGCGTTGGCGTTGGCGTTCGCCTTCGCCTTCGCCTTCGCCTTCGCCTTCGCCTTCGCCTTCGCCTTCGCCTTCGCCTACATCTTCTTCTTTGAATTCGCCTTCGCCTTCATCTTCATCTTGTCGAAAAATGTGTTTCACTTTTCTAGGTATTAAAGATGTTGTGTGTTCGTTGATGTCTTTCGTTCAATGTCGAAGGATCATTTTCTGTTTCCTATAGCACCAGTTCTTCTACGTTAAAACATGATAACTTAGGTACTTATTATGATATTTTTGTTTTCATTACTTCTTCAGATTGGTCATAAGATATACTAAAAGGAATTTCAAGGTTATTATTCATTAACGGACAACCTGCGTACGCTAACGCCATACATATCGTCACGTCAAACTTTTATGACAAAATGGGGAATAGAATTCGAGGGGATTCATATTCACCACTCTTTTGTATTCAGTCATTTTTCGAGTCGTATGAATGGGGTGACCTTTTTACGGTATTTCCCGATGGGTAAGGGAAAACTTACCACCACCTTTGTTATTGATTATTTATATATACAGGGTGTAAGGGACAGCCCTCCACAAATTAACAGGGTGCATTCAGCTCCTTATTCTGAATCATATTCCAGTGAAAATTCTTTCAGGAAAATTTTCAATTTTTTTTTTGTTTTTTCAGTTCCTACACCTCTATTTCAATGTATAATTACATTCTATGTATGAAGAATAACATTAATGTAAATAACACAGGTAAAACAAAAAAATACGCAATGGTTGTGTGAATTCTCTAAAGAACTACGCATGAAATCAGCTGTTCAATTTCTACCTAGCGCGAGTCGTTTGAACTCACCGCACCGCGGTCACGGCGCAGCGGCTCGGCGCCCCACCGCGCCGATCGCCGCGCCGTAGATATACCTACGATCTCGTCCAACGTACAGAATAGCTGCGTCCCTTTCTGTCGATTGAACCAGTGTTGCCAACTTTTAACTTTTGTTACCTCTTCTACCTTTCTCTCTTTCTACCTTTGTAAACGAAAATGTTAGAACTATCGAAATTTATCTAAAACTTGAGAACTCCTTTGCATTCATAATCACATTGATGAGATTTTCATTAATCAATTAATGAAAATCTTGTCGCGCACATAAATTGAATAAAAAATAAATAAAGATTAGTCTAGTTTTAATTTTAAAGCATTTACAAATACTACCTAATTTATTAATTGATTGTTCTTTTTTAGCGATTACTGGCTAGTTTTTAAACTACTTACAGATTTACATGGCTTCATAATAGCCATGAATTGATAGTCGAGCCAGAAATTAAACACAATCTCAGTGGAATGGAAGCACAGCTTTCTATCACACTGCACTTTTATTATTCTAAATTAACTAAACAATGAAATTAGAATTAAATTGATTTAATCAATTCATTTCTCTACAAAAAATAACAGAATGATAAATTACGACCATGCATAATTTTTTATTTTCTACCCCGAAATTTTGTAATTTTCGTGTAATTGGCAACAACAGATTTATGTTTGTGTGTGTCTCATCACATGCAGTCGCCATTGTGCCTTGCTGCGATGTTACTGTTTGTGTACCGCGAGCGTGTGTCGGTACGGATCCCTCGCGCATTCGGCTTAAAAGTTTTGTTATAAGTAGTGTTGTTAAGTTTTATTAGTTATGTAGTGTAGTGAAGTTTTGTTGTAGAAATTGTGCGAAATTACTACCTAGGTACATTTAGCGCGCGTGATTATGGGGAGATGATAATGTGTTTAGTAGTGTAGGTATCCTGACCGTCGGCATCCATCAGACTCCAGGATAATTACTGGTGACTATCAACGCTTGCTAGAAAACCAGCCCATTGTTCCCAGACAAAAAGGCGCCGGAAGACCAATACCTACGTGGATTTTGGAATTGGTTCTCTAACGTAAGGAGACGCTACCACTTACCAGTGCTTTCCTATTTAAACGTAGTTTAGGTAGGTTTGGACCGCAACCGTGGCCAGCACGATCCCCAGACCATGTCCAGTTACCATGTTATGATTGTTAGATTTTCTTTTGATAGTTATGCGGCTATCTTTTAAATAATAATTTATTGTTATTCAAAACGTGGCGCGAGCGCGATTATTAAATTGTCTTTTGTAAGTAATGCGGCTATCTTGTAAATAATAATTTATTGTTATTAAAACGTGGCGCGAGCGCGACCGTTTGTCCGAAAGGTAAGGTCGCGGCGCTGCCCATAGTGTAATGTAATAATACTAAAAGCGCTGCCGTTCGCTGCGTGCGTTTGCGGTGGTAGCGATACATTGCGTGTAAGGTAATGAAACAAATCGGTTTAATTGGATTCCCATAACGTTCCTGAAATAATTTCATGTACCGGTCAACTTAAGACGATATACTGAATCTAACTATCAGTTTGCGGAAGGCTGTCCCTTACACCCTGTATATATATATAGATATATTATGGACCCCATTAGGAGGTAGGCTTATTGCTATACTACGAACACGGATCTAATTTGTCTAACCCATAAGGCTGCAATCAAACCAATGACATGTTTGATGTGTAAACTTCGATAGCTCGGTCAACGAAACATCTATGAATATATCAATGCACGCTTAGCGCAGCCGCTTGGCAACTGGCAGCTGTGCAATGTACTGTGAATTCAATTCCCGAATAGAACAAAACTTATTGTCCCGAGTCTGAGTGTGATGTGTGCTCCCACGACACAGGAAGAAATCCTAATGCAGGGCAATGGTTACAAAAAAAGTAAAAAAGGATTTACAACAAAATCCCAAGAAATAAAATTAAATATTTATTATTATTATTTTATTACTAACTCCATTTTAACAACAAAATTACGGTTATTATTAATACCAAAAAAAGTATATAATAAAAAAAGTGGGTAATCGCCACGTTTGAGCCAGTCTCCATCTGAAGGTCATCCACCTGTCTCTAGAAAATATTTTTGCAATGCTTAATGCATCAGTTTTATCGCGAGATTATCTTGCATCACCGTTAATGCTTTAGTTAAATATTGTACTTACTGTTATAAGGTCATGGTTTTAATCTTCTTGAAGAAGGCGTTATTGGAGTTTTCTAGAGTAGTCCATAGGATGTTTTTTGAAACGAGCAAAATATATCACCAAGTGGACCGACTGACCATCTTTAAGTTTTGCTTGATGTTCAAAAGTCCCTGGAAGGTTCTAATTGAAATATATGATTTTACCTTCGACTTTACTTTTTTATACTGCACAGAAATTACGTTCTTCATTCAAATTTATCTGATACATAGTGTTTATCACTCAAACATAGCGAAATAGGTCCAATGACTGACGAATTGATAGTTTTTTTTTTTATAAACTTAGACAAAAACATATTGTCAATTGTCACAAATTAATTAATTATTTTTATATGGAAACACCTATCGTGAGACATACTCAATTTAACTAACTACTAGTTTCAAGCCACAAAGAAACTCTTATTCATGTAGCATTCTCACCCTGGCGACGTCGTGCAATCGACTTTTTGAGTTTAGTATTTCTCACAAAACTAACTATCCAAAAAAGTCGCAACATATTTATAGGTTCTTCAAAAATGAAGCCTGTGTTTATAAGAGCCATGCTTGGAAAGTTGGGACTCAAATGGTCTGGCGTCATACAAAACTTGGTTTGTATTTCAATGTATGAGTGAGGTTACCAGAAACCCAATCCTACACCTTTCATGCTCAAACTCCAAATTCCCAAATCCACTCTTACACACAACACACTTGACAATCTTTTTGTATTGGCGACGCCGATTGTTTACTATCTGTTTGCTCGTTTATTGACCTATTCCATCAAAAGCTTACCATCTATCCCAGTGAAGTTAATCAACCAATTCTTATTAACTAAGTTTTCGTTAACTAAGTTAAAAACAGTATCTAGCAGATATTCTGCAGATATACTGCAAGATACTGTTTACTTGGCTTGCAGATGATTGATCAAAAACTAAATTCGAGTATTAACATATTACCATTTTGCTTCTAGCATTAAGTCCTCCGATATACAATTGTATATAAGGAATAAATAAATAAATTATCAACACCTTACCAACCATTGAAGTCATTGTCATTTTAGGGTTTGTTTGTGACCAGACATTTTTTTTATGATACATATATGTCGGCAAACGAGCAGACGGATTACCTGATGGTAAGCAATCGGCGCGGCCCATGGACACCCGCAACACCAAAGGAGTTACGAGTGCGTTGACCTTTTGGGGATAGGGGTTGCGGATATAAGGATCGGGAAGGGATAGGGGAAGGCAAGGGATTGGGCCTCCGGTAACCTCACTCTCACACACTGTGGGTTGTTTCACCCTGGTATTCTGTGAAGCCGTGGTATTACTGCGGTCGAGCCGACCCATTCATGCTAAAGCTTGGCTCTCCCACACTTTTTACCGAAACATGTTATTTAATGCAACATTTTTTTTTATGTAGTTGGTCGGCAAACGAGCAGACGGATTACCTGATGGTAAGCAATCAGCGCCGCCCATGGACACCCGCAACGGAGGAGGTACGAGTGCGTTGCCGACCTTTTAGGGATTAGGGATTTGGAGATTTAGGATTTGAGGAGGAATTGAAGGCGGGGAAGGATTGGGCCCAACATACAACTGTAAATCCTTTATGACATACTTAGATCTAATCAACTGCGACATTTGTTCTGCGTAGTCAAGACTTAAAACAACGAGGCCAGGCAAAAAAAGTCCTACAACAATCTTATCGTAAGAAGACAAAATGAAGTATCAAAAGCGAACAAACCTTTAAGCCAATGGAGTAAAGCGTTAAAAAATATAATTATCTTTGTCAAATATTTAAATGACACAATCCAAACTAATATTATAAATGCTAAAGTAACTCTGTCGTCTCTCTATCTGTTTGTCTTTTCTTCACGCCTAAACTACTTAACCGATTTCTGTGAAATTTGGTACAGACATAGACATTTAAAACTCTAGAGGTTTTATACCAAAACTCTGCAGGAATTCACTATTCCACGCGAACATGAAATGTCAATATTGGTCGTTATAATATTTGTAACGTCAAAAACTATGAAATAGAATATTTAAGTGTTATTTCAACAAATATGAAAATTAAGTTATTGTGAAGGAATATTCTTATGTGAAGCGTGATTATCTGTATGATTGTACTGAAAAGCTAATCAAAGACCTCTTCTCATACGGAAAAGGTTAGAGCATTAATCACCACGCTTGCTCAATGCGGATTGGCGTTTTCAAACTTAAAATTAGAAATTATAAGTCCAGGTATCCTCACGATGTTTACCTTCACCGTATGCCAGTGGTGTCTAAATAATCATAGAAAGTACATGTAACTCGGAAAAAGTCACATTGGTACTTGCCAGATTTCGAACCCACCTCCTCAAAAGCCAATATCTTTTTGTAATTCAGCAAACCCTAAGCGAACGCCGGCGTTCGCGCATCTAGTATCTATTGTATCTTGAATGACCACGACTGAAAGGTTGAACTAAAAAAACTCCTGTACTAAATATCTCATCAACTCAAAGTCCAAGTAACTCAAGCTTAAGTAGTAGTAGAAATTAAACAAAACATAAGCATCACAGCGACATCTATTTATTATTTTGACAGCTAAGCTACGTATAAAGCCTTTCTAACTATTCATTATCGATGTCGGCACACTAAAGTGTGGGCGTGCGTGCAAATGATACGCAAAATCAACAGATGGCGTTGTCTTCAATGTTGACATTGATGCCAACACTTATTAAATAATTTTTGAAAAATGTTAGCAATACTAAGTATTTAATTACGTATTTTCTATAGTTGTGTAAAAAAGTCTTAAACTGCTACAAAAAAAAAAACAATTTCTTAAGTCTAATTACCTTTTATTCACCTTCTTATGGAGTTTTCTTTTCTTTAGTTCTATTATTTTCGGAATTTTGTCTTATTTGACTTTAGTTTGTTTGTTAAATAATGTTTAGCCTACGTTCGTTCGTGTTCGTTCGAGAAAATGTGTCACTAAATATTTAAATTGTCGTTGATGTCTTTTGTTCTACGTTTTTTTCTTAAATCCAAATACTATCCGAATATTAATTATTCATCTCATCTCACATGTAATACAAAAGAGAAAACAAAATACCAGTAGATACGTATTTAGTAACAATTTTCAAATAAAAAATACTCAACTACTTAAGCGAAGCGAATTTAAGTTTAGTAGTGCGGAGAGGTTAAGTCATTTGAGCATTATTGGTAGCGACAAACGATTTTTTAAATCACTCTATTGTTAATCATTTTTCATTCGAAACAAGAAAAGGTAAATAGGAGTCCAAAATGTAAATTAATCTTTCGATTCGGTAATTTGAGACACAATAGAAAGACAATAGGTGTGCGAACGCCCGCGTTCACTTGAGTTTTATTAAATGAAATCTGCTAACTTGATAGACACATAATAATTAGTCACTCAACCACCAGTCAAAATAGACCCTACATACTATGTATTACACATAATGTACTTTGTATTATCTCAATAAAAGAAAATTTTGAAAGTGCGCTTCATTACCATAAACGGTCTTACAGAAACCGTGCTTCGTCGTGGGAGTAAAGTTACCGGTGGCCAAAACCTTCTCTTTCTCCCTCTCCTTTACCTCCTTTCATACTTACTCACAACCCCAATCTCAAAATCTAAGAAATCCTTTTCCACAAATGGCTGACGCAGTCGTCACTCCTCTTGTATTTCGGATGCCCAAGAGCGGCATTGATTGCTTACCATCAGGTAGTCAGTTGCCACAATTTGCCACCATATCACATAAAAAAGTAAAACATAAAGGCAAAACAAAAGACAATCTTCATAAAAAAATATTTTATTAACGTACAAAAATAAAATTAAATAAAATTATGTAAAAAAAAAACAATATTTTCTAAAAAAATAAATAGAATTTTCATTATTTCCTAATCACGTAGGTAATTCTTATTTCAAAAATTGTTAGGGACTATTAACGGTTTTTTGCTACGACCTTTGGAACCTAAGTTTAGGTTGCCATGAGTATTTGATAACTTATACCACCATTTTTGGGGGAAAATATTGAACGAATATGGACAATATTTGTATTAAAAATATGGTCCCATACAAGGATTATTTCTTTTATCGTGAGGACTCTTTCACATATCCATCTCATCCAAATTTCCAATAACAATTTTTGGGACATTGTATGTCCCAAAAATTTTTTTCCTTTGGATAATTAAACTTGATATCCGTTGCGTAGCAACTAGTTACCCACTGTAGTGTACAACAATTTCTTTAGTGGTATATCATAATTATAATTTCCCTGTTTACTATACTTCATTCTTCCGATAAACCAAGTTTCCGCTGTTCATGAAATTACAATAAAGTGGAAAAAATATATTTGTTCATTTACATTTTAATAGGTTCTCTAATTTTGGATTGTTGAGAAGGTGATAATTTTATGATGAATTGACAATGAAGATCAAGTGGAAGAGGTATGCCAGAGTCCTGGGATTTGGTATTCCCATGTCATTGTGTACTTTAATGGGAGATGATGAGTTGATAGTTATGTATGTATGAAATGAAAAGAAAATCGAAGTACATTTACTTCGATTTTCTTTTATTATAAAAATGAATATTAATTGAAAATGAATTTCATAATGTACTGAAAAAATACGAATCATGGTTTGTAACGTGATGAAATTAATTTTGATTATAATGTTATTTAATATAGCAAGGATGATGATAATGAGAATGAATTAGAAAATACATTTTCAATCATTTAAAATTCAAATAGGTTGTCTTGGACGTCATTGGGAAAGGCCTATGTGTATCAGTGTTCTGTAGCTGATATAATAATGATGATGATGATGATGATGATGATGACGATAATGAAACCCAAATCACGAAGTTCCGAATCAAAAAACGTCTTTTTTTTTTTAAGCTATGATTGCATGACTTATGACTGGTAATCAATGGACAATGATTTTGATGGGATGAATTATTTAGAAGTTGATGATGACTCAACAAATGAAAAAAGAAATGATGATATGAAATTGCTAATTTTAAGCAAGTATGAACTGTTAATAAATGAATTATTAAACTGATTAAAAAAGAGTAACAATCGAGTTTCTTGCTCAGTCTTTTCCATAGGAATGTCCTTTTGGCAACGAGCCAATAACGTCAATAGAAGACTGGCCGACATTTTAAACTTTTTGTATTGACATATTATTTATATTGATATATTTATAAATTCAGCATGTCTCACGGTAGTTACTGTTCAAAAATTTTGATTGACGTTTAAGTTGCAAGTGCATACAATGGTGTAATTGATATAAAAGATTTGACTTTAAATTGAAATATTTTGTTTGCATACAATGGTGTAATTGATATAAAAGATTTGACTTTAACTTTGATTAAAATATTTTGTGTATTTGAAAATGTGATGAAATAGTGTTTTAAACTTAGATAATAAAAATGATGAGCAGAACTTTTTATAATGTAATTTCTGAAAACATGATGGTGAGCGAATGAACTGCCATGACTGTCGGTGTTTTTTGTGTGATATTGTGAATGAGTGAGATGAATCAATAGATCAATCATAATTACGAACAAATGACTGAAAAATCCTTTTCAAAACTGAATATACAATTAACGACTGTTTCCATTTGTTCTTATTTTTAAATTAGTTTTTCTTAAAAACATTTATATTTACAATAAGTTACATTTGTAGACAAAGGCACATAATTTAAGATTCTTCAGTTATTTTTCAAGGATTTACGAGTTTGTCTATCCATGGTACGAATTTTTGTATGTTTGTGTATACGCCTGGTAAATGTTCTCGGCCACAGCCTATGCCCCATGAAACTAAGCCTATAAGGGTGCTTCGCCCCTCCAGTTTCATTGTTAGAGGGCCTCCGCTGTCGCCCTGGCAAGAGTCTCTACCACCCTGAAAAAAATTAAAACAAAATTAGAATTGGAGCTTAACTGTATTGAAAATAATGTTTAATATTTTTTTAAAGTTGCATCGTATTGTATGTGTATACAAGTGTGTGATTAATTAGTTTAGAAAAATCGAAAAATCTATTTGTAGGTCTCGAAGAAAGTTAGAATTAAACCCAAACACACTTTGTAACAGCTTTATTAATTAACCTGCAACCATCGGTACACTTCGTTCCAATTAATATAAGAGGGTTATAAATTACCTCTTTATATCCTGCACAAAGGAACACATCATGTATGGTCTCCCTTCTCCCTGCAGCTCTAAACCATCGCTGGCAGCGTTCATTGGGGATGACTTCTACATCGACTTCCTGAAATATTACAGATAATGTTATTATTTAAAGTCAGTAATGATATTTACATTTATTTGTAACCATTAGAATATAAGCTAATTGCAGGTTAAACAAAGCGTTGAGTAATCTAGTTTAAGTTAAATAAGAGCTTAGAATAATTCATATATAAATGTCATGACATCATCATTTACTATGCCATATATATGTGGTAATGTATTGGCCAAACGCCTAGCATCATACATATAATTATTCTACATACATGGTTACGTTGAAATTTTAGGACATAAAATTGTGCCTTGGTGAATTCTTACGAATTTTTCAACCGATGCACATAAATTTTTAGTTACCTGTAGCACAGAAGGTACAGAGCTCTGTCCATGTCTCGTTCGTCCCCATCCTGCTACGGTGGCCATCTTGCCTGCTAACTTCATCTGCTTTTGAGGAAGACATACCTGGAAACATGGTGAAGCATGTTTATCGAAGGGTTGACAAGAATCTCAAACATACTGAATGATTTATATATTTTGAGTATTGCTTTTTCTGTATTAATATAATATTCTCACTACAGATAAAGTGTGATATAGATAGTAACTAGTGTTGGATTCTACAAACATTTTAAGATGTGCAAGCAGTCGTAAGTTATGGCTCATAACACTAACTAAGGTCATTGTTCTAGAGTTACTTATTCTATAAAAATACCTTAAAATCTACGTTAATTAAAGGAAAACTCAAAATAAATAAACATTGTTTTCAATAACATCGTGTGGTTGTTTGGGCAGAAATTTTTATAATCGTGTGTTTCAGTTTTGGCTTCATTCAACAGCTACCCATTTTATGCTGCTGAATAAAATACTGAAATATGGCTCTATAATAAACTAGCTACTGTCACGCGGTTTCACCCGCTGCTCAGCTCCATTTGAACATAGCGTAATATTTTAGAGCCAATAGCACTCAGGAACAATGTAGCTATCTATCAGTGAAAGAAATTTGGCAATCCGACCAGCGGTTCCAAAGATTACCCATTACATACAAACTTACAAATTTTACCTCTTCATAATATTAGTAAAGATTACACAAAATACTTACTGGTAAAATATGTTGTTTGAAAACAACGCCTCTATCAAGCTGAACTAAGGCCACATCGTTCCTGAAGTCAGCTGGTTCATACGATGGATGCACTTCTTTCCGTTGTACTGCGAACTCTTCGTGAGAGTATCTCTCTCCGGAGTCCCGAACGTCCCACTCACCGAGACGAACGCGAAGCTGGTTGTTTGGGGTTCTGAAAAGAAAGATAGTGTTGATTGACTATATGTTATCTACTAATCAATTACACAGGTTCCTTGTGACCGAATGACAGAAGCGACTTAGTGTGGGAGAGCCCTGCTTTGAGCTATGATTGGGCTGGTTAGACCTTAGTGTTACCACGGTCACACAAACCGTTGGGAACCAATCACAGTTTTTGTGTTTCACAGTGTGAGTGAGGTTACCAGTTATATCTCTAGATCCCGACGCTCGGAATGTCGCCTACTGCGGCGGCTGGGGCGCGAGGAGAATAGTTCACTTGGCACCGATTACTTACCATCTGATAATAAGGCCGCGAGTATGACGCCCTACCACAAGAAAAAAAACTGATAGATGTTTAGATGAACCAAAGTGGATAATAAAGCATTTTGGAAATACAAGAAGAACTAATTTAAAAACCTCAACGATGTGCAAATGACCGTACTTAGCCAAAACTAAGAGGTCAAAAATTTACAATAGCAATTAACTGAATCAGTAAAAGTAATGATTTTACTCGTTAATAATGACAACATCAAAACTTGTGCTAGAATTGAATTAATCAGCATTTTTAAGAGTATTATTCCAAAACACGATTAGCCAAAACGGATGTGGAACATAGCCATTAGGCAATAAGTCAGTCTTAGTGCGAATGTTGCGTAAGAAGAATTTGAATTGATGAACATTCGCTGATAAATTTAAGATCCGTTAACATTTTATAATATAATAGTTTTGTCGGTCAAATGTTAATTACATGAACTCATCTATAGAATGTTATATCTATTAAAAAATAATCACATCCTTTCAGTGATTGCGTGAAATGCCGTAAAACTATTTACATTTTATAGTGCAGATCTTTTTTTTATGTAATAGGTAGGCAAACGAGCCGACGGATTACCTGATGGTAAACAATAAGCTCGCAACGGTCCAACGTACCAACGCACTCGCAACGGAGGAGTTACGAGTGCGTTGCCGACCTTTTAGGGTTTTGGAGATTTAGGGATTGGGGAGGGATCGGGGGAAGGATAGGATTGGGCCTCCCGGTAACCTCACTCACACGGCGAAACACAACGCTATGGTTGTTTCACACCGGTTTTCTGTGAGTTCTAGTTAATATTTAATAAATATTTATAGTATTCATAACTTTTAATATTGTTTATATAGTATTTTATGTGTTTATATAGGCCTTGGATGCTCTAAATAAATGGATAAATAAAATAAAATCATACAGCGTATTATGCATCGTGGTTGCGTAGTACGAAACTAAAATAAAATTTGGCACAACAAACCACGTACGTTGGTAATATAAGTCATCAAATTGAAATAAACATAAAAAAGCGGTAATTAATTCTACTATTGATACTGCCAGTTTGAATAATAAAATATACAAACCCTAAAACTGCTGTATGTTTTTTTCTAAGTCACTAAGAGTTTGACGAATTCACCTCACCATTTAGATTATATTTGTTTGTTTGTTTTTTTATAATTACTCTACACTAGGATTTTCTGTGATGATTCTACTGTGATGTGGGTGCGTTTACAAACATACATTTCCACATATACATCACACATCAAACGTAGACCTAGACGTCCTATTATAAATTTCCTTTTTATAATTACTTTACAAATCTCATTAAAATTCAAACAAAAACCAAGAGCAAGACTATTATTATAATCTTCTTTAAAGAAACTAGACCAAAATTATAATCACACAGAACCTTTCAAAGCGGAAACAATGATTCGCTTTAACACGATCCTTACATAACACGTTACGTAAATCTAAAATCTTCTTTCCATCTCAAACATTAAGGTTTATTTTCGAAAAAAACAACGACCCACTAAGCGAGAAAGTCAGTAATTACGTTTTAAAAAAATCGACCGGACTATGAAAGTAGGTAAAGTTTCAGTGAGTAATGAAAAAAAAACTTTAAGAAATTAACGTTACTGATTGCTGTCTGAAAACTAAAGAGCAGCTAATCATTTTTAATGCGTATGTTTAATTTTTGGTATATCAAGAACAAGAAGTGTAGGAACTAAAAAAAATATTTTTTAACAAGTCATTTTATAAAATTACGACCACTTAGTGATTTTTGTAAACGATTTTGCCAATCCTTTAATTTATTTATGTTTAAACGGATTATTACAGAAACACGCTTCTAATCTTCTTATATATAAAAATGGATCGCAAAATGTGTTGTAAGCGCATAACTCAATAACGCCTGGACCAATTTGGCCAATTCTTTTTTTAAGATGTTCGTTGAAGTCCAAGGATGGTTCTTACGGTGAGAAAAAATCGAATAATTGCCGGGAAAACCCTAAAAACAGTCCTTTTCTTTTTCACATACAAATGTTTTCTAACTAAAACGTCGAATCAATTTGAGCTTTATTGCTGTTATACATAAGGTTCATATTAAATAACAAGCACTCACTGTTATCTAAGAAATAATTGAAAGAAGAAAAGGCGTGTTCCTAACGTCAAAAAGTAAATTTGCACTTTCTTACCACTAAACAAAGTTCAAATTCAATCATCTATCAAAACAGTGTGCGCGTGTGCTTTGTAGCTGAAGCACAGAATTCGTCGTTTGAGGATTAATAAGTCGGGTTCCGAAAACAAAAAAAAAATCCGATTTGAATGATTCTTTCAGTGTTATGTAGTCCATTTATCGAGGAAGGTATATTTTATTTAATTCAAAATTCTGTAGCACAAGGAGTAAAATCGAAAACCTATTTTTGCGTGCGCTGCAATAGCTATTGACCATAGAACAAAATTATGTACTACGGGTTTGTAGATTCTATTAAAACCTACAAAAAGTCCGCAAAAGCATATATCTAGCTATCATGGTTTAATCACAATACCCGATTTTGTGTTCAAAATAATTATTGAATCGTCTGTATATTACTGTAAATGCACCCAAGTTCTTTAATGACCAGGTAATGGCAAACAATAGTGTTATGCTCAGTGTTGTTTCAATGAGGGAAAAATATTTTTTTGGATGCTCCAGGGGAACCGGTAAACCTTTCATTAGCTACTAATATGATATTAGCAAAAGTAAGGTCTCAGGGAAAACTAGCTTTGGCAGTAGCGTCATCTGGAATCGCTGCTACTATATTAGCTGGCGTACGCACAGCTCATTACACTTTTAAACTAACATAACCTAACCTTTCCGTTACAGAAAGAGCGTGTGCTCTATTCGTAAAAATGGCCTTTTAGGCAAAGTTTTGTAAGATGTCACTTTAGTCACTTCAATCTGGGATGAATGTACCATGATTCATAGAGCTCATTTCAGGGATTTTCGGCCAACTTTGCCAGTAGTAGTAAGAGGAACTAAAGTAGACATTGTAAAAAATTGCCTTAAAAGTTCTCTATTATGGAAATTTGTTCATACCTTAAAACTATCTACGGACATGAGAGCATATTTGGAAGGAGGTAGTACAAATTTTCCTTTGAAGTTACTTTTAGTTGGAGACGGAAAAGTACCTTATTTTGAAAATAAAATACCTATTGATCAAGATTTAGGAGAAAAAAAGACCAGCATTGAGAGTTTAATATCAAAAGATATCGTCGAAATAGAAAATAAAGATTATCAATGGAAGTGTGCACAGTCGGTGCGGTGGCTGGGCAACTGGCTGCCGTGTAACGTGTCGCGGGTTCGATTCCCGCACGGAACAACACTTTGTGTGATCCACAAATTGTTGTTTCGGGTCTGGGTGTCATGTGTATGTGACATTGTATGTTTGTAAACGCACCCACAACACAGGAGAAAATCCTAAAGTGTGTACAGTAGAGTAAAGTCTAAACAGTAGTGTTGACAAAATTAACGATTTAATTTTAACTAAACTTCCAATGGATCAAGAATACGCAGTCCATTATCTGCAGGGATGTTTTCATTCTTTAAACCCGAGGGGCATCCCATCACATTCTCTCAAGTTAAAAATTGGTGCCCCAATTATTTTATTTTACTTAGAAATTTATGTAACGGGAGACTTTAGGTTAAATTTGTTCGCAATAACGTGATCGTTGCAATAATAGTTCTGACTGGTCCAGTGGTTGGTCAAACAGTATTTATACCTCGGATCCTAATTATTCCAAATGATTGCCTTACATGCCTTTACATTTTAATCCAAGTCAGAAAATAAAACGAAAAATACTGAATCGAGGCCATGGTGCAGCGTGAGAGGAACTGGGAAGCTATCTCCTCCTTCTGCGAAGCAGTTATGCTCGCAAAGGAGGAGGCGGAGCGCGTGGGGGAACTATCCTCCTCGCGCCCCAGCCGCCGCAGAAGGCGACATTCCGGACGTCGGGGATCGAGAGATGATCTCCGGCCACCGTAAGCGCGGGTCTGCCGTCGGCGAGTAAGGGTAGCTCGCCGCCCGACCAGAACCGGACCCACGCGTACGGCGCATAGCGTTCCGCGCGCGCCTTAAAGACTCAATAGACCACCACAGTCGGGGCCCTAAAGGTCTGATGTTTAGCCGGGGCTGCGGGGTTAGCGCAATGAGGCACCGTGACCTCGGCCCAGAGCAGGAGAAGGAACGGGGGGGGGGGGTTTAGTCAGTAAGAGTCTGACACTCTCTCTCGCCTTACCCTGGGCGGGAGAAGTCATTGGATGATTTTCCCCTGACAAAAAAAAAAACGGTTTGAAGTGGACGGACACTCCCGCCTGTAGTCGTAATTCTTACTCTGGCTGAATTTCGAACAGATAAACAGCTATTGCTTACTTGACTTATACAATTTAACTTAATCTATATTTTTCTTAATATTATACCTAAACCTGAAAAGTTTGGTTGTTTGTTATGAAGGCGGTAATCTCGGGAAATGCTGATCTGATAATTATGAAAACTGTTTAAATATTCAATAGTCCATTTATTGAGGGAGGCTATAATATAGGCAATATTTTATCTCGGTATTTCCACGGAAACGACAAAATCGCGGGTGAAACCGCGGGGCACAGCTAGTATTGTCATAAAACTATAGAAACTTATCTGGATATTAAGAGTAGGTATACCACCCGAGCAAAGCTGGAACAAGCTTATCAATATATTTCAAAATGAATCGGAAAATTTGTTGGTATATGACATAAATCAACAATGCCTGGACCGATTTTGTTGATTATTTTTTTGTTGTGCCCTTTATAGCCATAAGAAGGTTCTTATGAAAAAAAAATAGGATAGTAGAGGGGAAATATCGACCTTTTGCGTCTTTAGAGATGTAGTTTGACACTTGTGTTAAGCAGGGACACGTCGCAAGTCCAAACTTTATATTATAAATGCGAAAGTAACTCTGTCTGTCTGTCTGTTTTTTTTTACGCCTAAACTACTGAACCGATTTCTATGATATTTGGCACAGACATAGTTTGGAACTCCAGAAAGGACATAGAGTAGTTTTTATACCAAACATCTGCAGGAAGTTACTATTCCACGCGAGCGAAGTCGCGGGTAAAAGCTAGTCATTTTATAAGAAAAAAACAGAAACCAAATACTCACGTAGCTACACAATGCGCTGCAGTAATCACCCATCGATCAGAGATCAAGGCTCCGCCACAAGCCAGCTTCTTGCTCAGGAAGCCAGACTTGATGAGAGCGGCTTGCCACGGGTGGGAACCGAACCCAGTCGAATGCCCACCGACTATACGGTTTGACCGGGTGAAATGCTCACCGCAACCTGAAATAAGTAATATTGTATTAGGTTTTGTAATAAAATGACGAGTACAAAGAGATGGGTTTTGAAATTAGAGATAATGTCTTGTAATTATTTTTTAAATAAGTACCTAATGGTAAAGCTATGTAACTCAATAATAGAATTTGATTTAACTTTACAACCATTTAAAATGATAATACTAAAATTAAAAATAAGGATATAAAAAAATGTTTCTACTTTTGAAACTATTAAAAAATCTTGGACACTTTTCAGTAGTATAGATAACACAGCCTGTTTTTTTTTAAATATAATTTTGTCAAATAAATATTTAAGTGCATTCCCTACATTAGTCATGGTTTATTATCATAAATTAAATTTCGAATTAGAAAATTAAATTTATTATAACATAGAAGGATTAATAGAAAAATTGTGATCAATTTTTAGCCTGTGCTATTTACTTGCATTGCTTTGTTAAAAATATTCACGATTATTAAAAAAAAAGATTATTTTTATTTAATTCAATTATCACTATTGCACAGGTTTTTGTTTGCTTCAATAAATAATAATAATTTAAATAAAACATGAAAACCTCAAATTCAAGGTTTCGTAATAGAAAAAGAAATAATAAAATTACAATTTAAATTAAATACATACATGTATACATATAAACATACATACAACATTCAACATAAAATACAATTGTAACAAACAGATTATAACATCAAAATGTGTCAGAAGCGAGTGCTGTACAGTGCATTGCTTGTATTGCTGTCTATTGCTGAAAATGCAACGTCTACTAAGTCTATTTGCTGAAATTGCAACGTCTACTTAATCTATTTGCTGAAATTGCAACGTCTACTAAGTCTTTTTGCTAAAATTGCAATGCTCATTTCGTGTCTTATGCCAACATGTAACAAAAGTAGAGGGTTTTTTGAAATGCAAAATAAATTTACAATTGGAATATGAATATTCATTTTGGAGATGAACAGTCAGCATTTTCAAATGCAGTGAAGAAAATAAAGATGAATTCAATTCAATGTATAAATACATTGGCATTTTCTTTAAAAATTCTCTTCTTGCATAATAGTTAATTTTTATTCATATCGGAATTCAAAGTTAAAGTGTATAGAAAATTTGCTTATTTGGCAAGACGTTTTATTTATTACTTTTTTATTATTTATTTTTACTATTAATATTTATTGTAACTTATATTTATTGTTGCTGAGTAAGAGACTTTATTGCTGGCATTGCACTATTGGCGTCTTTTACTAAAATTCAGCAAATTGACAACAGTAGTGACGTAATCGGTGCGTGATGATTATGAAAACGCAGTGCAAATATAAAGCAGGATAGAATAGAATTAATTGGCGACGGAACTCAAGGTCAAATAATAATAAAAAACTAAAGTAAAAACACTACTACTTCGCGTGAAAGTAACAGTCACTTCTTGAACCAAAAAGCAGTAAAATCTAAAAGACAAAATCTTGAGCGCCATCTTTAGAAAATTTGGAATAAAAACATAAAGCCTAGTTCACAATATCTCACCCGGGAAACTAGGTCGCGTCGGCTTATTGCTAGTGTGTACTGGCACATAATCATCATCACCCTGTATATTGTTCCCTTCATGATAAAAATCATCAGGTTTTTTCGTTGTACCCTCGTGGTACGAGGGTTTTACGTGGTAAAAATGATTTTGGTTCCAAGATGGCCGGTTATTACCGGTTTGATCCAGTTCTGGGTGGTTGGTATCCGGTTTTTGGTGGTAATCCGGCTTGGAGTCAGTGTAAATGATAATGGGGTCTTCAAATTGGTTTGTGTTCGTTTGGTAATCGTAGTTTTCATGTGGGAATGTTCCGATCAGTTCAATTAGATCACCTGGTGAAGGTTTTATGAGTTAGTTGTGATTGTGAATGGTTAATATGAATGGAAAATGTTATAGTTTTTGTAATTTCGTTTTTGGTATGTGTGTCACGTATTTTTTGAGTATCAGCCGCATCCAAAGTCATAATGGTTACATAACTCATTACTTTTTTTTTGTCAGGGGTAAATCATCAAATTTGACCTTTCCCGCGCAGGGTAAGGCGAGAGAAAGTGTCAGACTCTTACTGACTAAAAACCCCCCGTTCCTTCTCCTGCTCTGGACCGAGGCCGCGGTGACTCATTGCGCTTAACCCGCAACCCCGGCTACATAACCCAGTACTTAACAAACGGTTTTGGAAAATAATTCTAAGGAATAGTTTGTTCTATGTTTTGAGGAGTGATTACCAGGCCTGGGTGGAGCGAGAAGGACAGTCAGACTCTTACTGACTTAAAACCACCGCGTCCCTTTTTTGCGCTTAAGTTGCAACCCCGGACACTAAGGAATACTTTAGCAAATCATCGACTTTGAGTGCGGTTTTGAGAAATTCAATATTGACGTACTTATATATATTTTAATGCATGTACGATTATTAAATTATAATTTAAAATAATGCATAAGTATATTTTAAAGTACGAAATATAATTGTAAATTAGATTGTTTATCTCATAATTTTTATTCGACGATGTTACTCAACTGGATTCAATTCACCCGGTGCCCATAATCATGAGTTGGTAGTATGTTTGGCCACCATAATAATAATATGACGCTGTATTGGTTTGGAACCAGTCAAGTCCCATCGTCGAATACTCACATGAGTGAGGCGTTCAGCCATTTTACGATTGACTTATAAAATTAAAACCTCTTTGGTAACATTTAGACCTTGGAAAATTAGTGACCTTTTGTAGGCAGCTTAACATGTCGAATATTATTCTAATACTATTGCCTATAATTACAAATAGAAAACCAAAAACAACTTTTTTCAAACAAAAAATCACTACCACTACCAATAGCCCATGTCTGTACACTATCAGACCTTAGGTTTACCATTATTTCCATACTTGGCATGAGTTGGACATCTCTATCTTAAGCAATTTAACAGAGAGGCGAAAAATGTATTCTGTTCTGCCATATTTTCGCAAAATATACATATTTTTTTCTATAGTATAGGCGAACCACAGCAACAGCGAAATGACCAGGCAAATCACCTGATGGTAGCCTGTCGGTGTTGCCCGTGGATACCATGATACCATAAGCAGGCGGGAGGGAGGATTTGAACACCTCTGACAAAAGCAAACACTCGATTCGGACGTTCATTCACAATGCATCGGTTATTCCACGCCAGTATTGCTATAAGGCCTTGGTATTACTCCGAACGGCCTAGGCCCACGCCCCGGCCCAATGATATTTCCCTCCTTATCCGACCTTTTTCCTATTGAGAGGACCTTTCCAATGCATGGGTTGCTGCACACAACCACGTGGCCAACGAAGAACTATTACTTACATAACCAACTTAATTGTCTATTTTCCCTAGACTTTTAGTATTGTGTTACCGGTCCAATGGGCAGAACTTTCTCCAGCACCTCAGGGCAGTTTCTCAAGACTAACAGTTTGTAAATTTTCTAACTTGAAGGTTTAACATGAGCTATTAACTCGCACTCGAAACACTTTCCAATTTCGTTTAAAAGTGTTTAAATTGATTTAAGTTGGTATATAAGTGGGGGAGCCATGCTTCGGCACGAATGGGTCGGCTCGACCGGAGTGATACCACTGCCGTAAAGAAAACCGGCGTGAAACATCCACAGCGTTGTGTTTCGCCGTGCAAGTGAGATTACCGGAGACGCTAATCCTTTCCTGCCCCAGTCCCTAAATCCCCATAACCCTAATCAACAAAAGGAAGGCATTGTAATTCTTCCGATGTTGCGGGAGCCCCTGATAGCTGGTGGCACTGATTGCTTACCATCAGGTAATTCGTCGTTTGCCGTAAATTAACAACTGAAGTTATTTTTATGTGATGGGAAATAAAAAGAATCAGTTTAAAAAAAATCAATAATGACAATAAACAAAACTGACAATTAAAAACTTTTTGAGGCGATAAGGAGATCGCTAGTACTTAATAGAATTTTGCATTAGACTTTCATAGTAAAACAATGGCCTCGTGGACTCAATGTGTTTTGAATAAATTATCAATATAGTAAGTATACATAGAATCGTGAAAGTAGAGTTATTACGCCACACAATCATAAAGTAAAGACGTGTGTTTGTCTGTCTGTGTACGGCAAGAGCTACGGAAATAAATACGTGGAATTATCTTGTGTTCTCGACCAATCAGTGCGTAAACTTGTTAGGTTATGGTCCAAGGTAGGAGCGTAGCGTTTTAAAAAAATATTTTTTTGATAATTGAAAAGACATTCTGTTATTCTTTTTATGGAATAGGAGGCAAACGAACAAACGAATTGGCGCCACCCATATACATATATGGTATTGCAGGTGTCCTGCAACAGAGAAGCTACAGGCGCATTGACGGCCTTTTAAAAAGGAGTAGGTACACAACGTTTCTTGAAGTTTTGAAGGTTTTGTTCTATTTATAGTAAAGAATAAAGAGGGTCATACTAAAATGAAATGTTTTTATAATATTATTTCACGTTTTTTTCTGGAAGTGAATTATAGTAGGTAAGAAGGCCCATATTAACTTATATTGTAAAGATGGACTAATCTCCGACATTGCTACATTGTCGGAATTTTAATATAGTTCTTGTGTTTTATAATTCATTTGTAGAGGAAGGCTTTGATAAAAACATTACGATACTAGACTAGGAGAAGGAGGGCGTGAGAAAATCTAGCATATTTTATACCAGAAATAAATCCAGACTCCGTGCTATTTACTTAAGCATTTTCCAATAATATCTAACAATAATTCTCAAGAGTAATTTGCCAGACTCGAATTTAACGCTGCCCAGAACCTCTGGCAAACAAATGCGGTTACTTGACAACAATTAATAGCCATCATCAAATACCTACTGATGATGAAGCAGGTCGTGGTATCTTAAAGGGTTCGAAAGCTGACAAGTACCAAGGTGACTTTTTGCCGAGTTATATAAACCTTCTAATTATATATTTAGGCACCACTGACTTACAGTCAAGGAAAACATAGTGAGGAACTTTGAATAAGCGTGGTGATTAATACTTGAACCTTCTTTGCGTGAGAAGAAGTTTTTCCTTAGCAATGGGAACTTATAGGCTGGTGATGACTAACAACCTGCAACAGTTTACTTCTGGACAACAAACTTCCAAGGATTTGCTATTGTCTCCACGCTTGGAACTCGGATTGGATAATACGTATGCAGTAGCAGCGCGACAGTCGTCGCGTCGCGTGTCGCGAAATGCTGCTCATGAATATGGACCTCTATCGTGGCTTGAAACTAGTCGAGTATCTCGTCAAAAGAGAAACGATCAAATGAGTAAGCCGCAAACATAATAATTGATTCATATAAAGTTTAAATGGTTGATTTTTTCGGGTTATAAAACATTCATTGATTTACCCCGCTACCTCTTTTGACTTGCACCACTAGAGAGAGTGGTATTCGCGTTTTATTTCGTAACTGAACACAATGTCAAGCGTTTTGTCACTGCGAAGAAACTAATTTTAATGATTCTCATACGACGAGAAATGGTGCAATATCATTGTTTAAGTATAAACTCTAAGAATGGCATTAGGTGGCTGCTTGTTCTTCTATGTGAAATTACCGTGAAGGTAGTAGAAGTTTGATCTGAAGGTAGAATTTTTGTAATACTTTCGATTTTAAGCTTCGAGAGGTATTTGTTCTCAAGTACTGGCGGTGACTTACCCTAAGACACTGCCTTTTTTTAAATCTAGGCAGAAATTCTCACAGAGCTTTTTTTTATGTAATAGATCGGTAAACGAGCAGACTGATTACCTGATGGTAAGCAATCAGTGTCGCCCATGGACACCCATTAAAGAGGAGTTACGAGTGCGTTGCCAACCTTTTGGGGATTTAGAGATTGGGGAGGGATTGGGGGAGGGGCAGTATTGGTCATCATTTCTTAGTAAAAAAATATCAATAAATTTAATCAGCAAGAATCTGACAGTCTCCTACGTCTTCAATCAAGGAGGCTCTATCAGGATTTCTCCTTAGGCCAAAAAAGGGTAGTCGATTTGATGAGCCACGCAGATAGCTATTGTTACACTTATCTAATAGTACCTACTGTTTGAATGAAGCCATTACTTTTCTCTTTTTATGGGATAGATGGGTAAACGAGATAACTACCTGATGGTAAGCAATTGGCGTTGGACAAGGACATGGATAACAGCTGAGGAGTTGTAAATACGTTGCCGGTTTTTGATGCGGTTTTTTAATAGACAGAGTGATTGAAGAGGAAGGTTTGTATTAGGTATATTATGGATACTTACTTACTACGGACACGGATTGGATACGAATATAGGAATGATTATTATACTGGATAAGGATTATGACTTCGGATTATCCGTTACAATGGATATTAAAACTTTAAGGCATTTCAAAATTAAAATACAAACATAACGTGTCCCAATTAGGTTCCGCCCCTATCCGATTCTATACGAAACTTATATTTCGGATTCGGTTATGGTTACGGATATTTTTTATATCGAATATCCAATCACTTTGGTCGTGGTTACGGAGCTCCCTGACATCCCTGGTTTATATGTATTATAGCAAACATTTAATAGTGAACAAATTTGGTATCAGAAATGCACCCGTGCGAAGTCGAGCCAGATTGCTAATAGTATTCAAGTTAATTCTATGCTATATTCAGTATGGTAGTCGAAGTATACAGGGTGTAAAAAGACACTTAACGAAGCCGAAAGCCACGTATTCTACCCATTATTTGGATCATTTTTTTCTTTAAGACCATAGCTGGGACTCCACGGGTCCTACAATTAAAGTCGTTTCCCAGTGATAATTTTAGCGTAAAGCTACTTAGTTAGAACTGCAGTATGCGTAGTTAACGGCTTCGTTAAGTGTCTTTTTACACCCTGTATTAGTTGCCTAGAGGTTGTGTTATAACCTTATTTCTCATTTAAACTTTTTAAACTATTTTCTACATTTTCCCGTTGGACATAATAAATATAACGTTTGAAAAAGTATAGAAATATATCTACATACAGAAAGATTTTGATTAGATAATAATTATTACTGAAACACATTCAAAATAAACACAAAATATATTAACACAACACTGCGTTGCATGCATAATTATGATTATTATACTTTAAAACATAATTATAATATTTATAAGTTATTTTACAAATTAAAGGAACGTTATTTTTATTTAAATTTCGAACAAATCCTTTCTTATTTATTGTTAAGTTTTAATATCACTACATAGTATAAAACAAAGTCGCTTTCTATATCCCTTTGTATGCTTAAATCTTTGAAACTACGCAACGGATTTTGATGCGGTTTTCAATAGATAGAGTGATTTAAGAGGAAGGTTTATATTATGTACAGTAACATATATCAAATGGATGGGTCGCTTGTTATAAATAAATTATTATATTTATTCTGAATTTATGTAATCACATATTTTTACAAGTATGTAACTAAAGTTATCAGTTAGGCATGGAGGTCTGTTATTTTCTTATTTAGTAAGTATTTTTAAATAAATTAAACCAAAACCATTTTTTTTCAGTTAACACTCAAACACCGAACGAAACAGTAAAAACTAAAGTTTTGTTCATAAAATTCAACCTTTCGAAACAGCACGAAATAAGTAAGAAAGGATTTATTCAAAAAACAAAATCAACATTAATTATTAGACAATAATTACTCAAACTTTTAAACGTAATATCTTATAAGAAAAACATACTTACTGGCATTATGTACAACCGGTGCTACCTCAGTAGGTCTCTCAGTGGTCTCCCTATCCACACAGCAGGCCCAAATCATCCCCCCTGAACACAAGTCTAGGGGTTTCCCACCCCCCAAGACGCAGGATATACTCAACCCGCATGGATATCGAGCGCCTCTGTATCGGCAAGTTTGGGGGATCACTGGAACAATAAAAAAACATATATTAGAATAAGGTACAGAAAGAAAAATAAAAAAGTCATTTTTGTGTCTCAGGACTTCTCTCATTCACACACACACATTCGCTTTGCCGTTACATTCAACTTAAATCTAGCTTAAAAATAATGAACCCATTTTTTATGTAATAGGTCGGCAAACGAGTAGACGGATTACCTGATGGTAAGCAATCAGCACCGCCCATGGACACCCGCAAACAGAGGACACCATCAGAGGACAACACCACCGCAACGGAGGAGTTACGAGTGCGTTGCCTACCTTTTAGGGATTAGGGATTTGGACATTTAGGGATTGAGGAGGGATTGGGGGGGAGGCCTCCGATAAACTCACCCGGCGAAACACAACGCTGTGGTTGTTTCACGCCGGTTTTCTGTGAGGCCGTGGTATCACTCCGGTCGAGCCGACCCATTCGTGCCGAAGCTTGGCTCTCCCAAACTTTATTTAAATGATAGTATCATTAGTTATCAATAGTTTTATTTGTAAAAATAATAACCTCACCGAGTGTATTTTATAATTTCTTCTAGCTTTTATATTGTTTTAAATTATTTAGTTAAAATACCCAATTAAATAACACACAAAATAAAATCAATGAAAAATAAAACAATATTAGGTACAAGAATAAACTTCACAATTCGCAAATAATAAAACGTGTATACATAAATTCTCATCAAACTAAAAGAAAAAAAACGTATCCAACGACAAATTCTCTGCAAAAAAAGCGATTCATGAAACAGATCGCCTGAAACTGAAAACTGACAACAATTTGTGCGATATATTACATAAATACGACTGTAAACACGCAACGTTATTTAAAGATCTTAAGATCAATGAAACGGTTGAACGACCGGACATTTTCTCTGCGCACGCGCAGCGATCCTACTTTTACTCTCAATACATTTGCGTGACTTAGATGGACATTTCGATACGAAACAATGGCTTAACACTGTATTATGTGTTTTATCTTTTAATCGTAGGACGATTTAACGGGGTAAGCAGTGTTGAAATGTTTTTTTAAATGTTAGTGTAGACATTTTTTTGTTGGTTGTGTTTTTATCTGAGGACAAACTTTATCTAACCTACTTTTGTAAACGTATAAGTGTCTAATACGTATTAAAAAAAAACAATGTACCTACATTGTTTTTTATTATTATTGTATTAGACGGGTTGTCAATACTTTCATATTAGTTTTGTTCGAATTACCGACGTCGTATATATATGCGTTTATTATTACACTTTTTTCTAAAATATTAATAGTTATTATTATTATTAAATAGTCAAATCAATGAATTACTTTCGAATATTTTCAATAAATATAGTTTTAAAAACTTGAAACAATATTTTTCGATTTTCAGACATTACGGGAGGATCATTTTCAGAAGGCATCTTACGGATAATATAAGTTGCCTTCTGAAAATGAGCATTAAACATAAAACAATGATAATGATGAATAATAAATATCAACGTAACTTAACAATTATTTTATATAATTTCCTGCTTTGCAAAATTTTGATTTATTTGAAAAGTAATAAAAAAATATTTTTAATTTATAATTTATATTTTTTCCAATAAGTCAACCTCTTTTCTTCCTCTTTTCTTCGTCCGTCAATAACTGGTATGTTCCATTTTTAAAAAGAAACTGGTCCATTATAATGAGAATTTCTAAATTCAAAATCTTAGTTCGTCTTAGGGATCTGTCGTAAAACCTTATATGGAATAGTCACTCTTTATTTTATTCTTAGAACATACCAGTACAACTATTTATAACTTGGCATATACATTAAAGAACTTATATCTCTATTCTTCCTCTCATTTATACACTTACAGCTCATAAAATTCTTATCAGATTAACGTGTGCAATGTTTAGATCTGTAGATGTATTTTCTAGCCAGATTTAGCCAAGATTAGTCTAGCTAGGCGCACTATAAGTTCTAATAATTTTTCCCTTTTATGGGCAAACATAGATATGTTGAAGAGAAATTTAGAATTTTCGGTTAGAAGATAATATATCTATACTATCTACACTAATATTATAAAGAGGTAAAGTTTGTACATTTGTATGTAGGGGGTAATCTTTGGAACCACTGGTTGGATTCCAAAATTCTTTCACTGATAGATAGCTACAATGTTCCTGAGTGCTATAGACTATAAAACATAACGTTACGATCAAATGGAACCGAGCAGCGGGTGAAACCGCGTGAAATTAGCTAGTAAAATATAAAATAAGTAAGGATCACTTATTTTCAAAGTGACAAATTATGTGAAACTAAACTTATCAACGGTAGGGATATTTTCTCCCCGTTATACATGACCAGTAAAATGTGACGCCGCAAGAGACACAACGCGTTGGGGATCGCGCTCCGATCTCATACCAATGTAAGCACGGTAGGCCTACCTATAGCACGGTAGGCTATAAAGAGGGATAGAGCTATTAAAACAGTATAGCTCCATCCCTCTTTCTCGCCCGGAAGATTGACCCTTTAACACGTCATAGTAGGCCCTCGGGTCTGCGGATTGTAAGGAAGGCTAACTCGCCGCTCGACCAGAACCAGACCCCCGGGTCTAGTCGGGTCGGGTAAGGCGCGTAGCGTTCCGCGCGCGCCTCAAAGAGACGTTCCATATTTACATATGGGCCTCCATCAGGGTCGATTTGAAGCCGGGGTTACAGGTGTAAGCGCAATATAATGTACCGTGATTCGGAAGCAGTAGAAGGCACGAGGATGTTTATTGTCAGTGAGAGTGTTACACTGTTCTCACATATCAGAACCGACTAAATGATGTATCAAAGAAATGAATTTTAAAACTGATTGAAAAAGAGTAACCATGGAGTTTCCTGCTCGTTCTTCTCCATAGGAATCTACACTTTGGAACGAGCAAATAGCTTCACTAGAGGACAGACAGACACGATTAAAGTTAAAGCTCTTTAAATACCTTTTATCTATTTTTTTGCTTGACGTTCAATAGTGCCTGCTGTGGTCTAATTAAAGTATATGATTTTGACTTTGACTTTGACACTCCCTCTCACCCCAGCCAGGGCTGGAAAATTCATTTGATGATTGTATCCTTAAAAAGGGGTAACTTAACGAAGAATAAGAGCCGCCATGTTTTGTATGCAGGCACTGCATTTTTCGCTATAAACTACTTCAACCGCGTTAACGATTCAGACGATCAGAAGATTTAAAGGAGGTAAAATCGAGAAATAACAAGACATCAGAATTTTCCAATTTCGGCCATGAGACACCAAGGTAGTTCGCCACCATGTTTTGAACCCACCCACGGGCCACCACGACGCCAAGCATGCTCTATAGCCGGTTCCGTTATTATTTTCAAAAGACCGAGTAATAATTTTAAGGAAATATTATAAAGAAGAAAGGATAATTGATTGCACGGTTGGTGTGGTGGCTGGGCAACTGGCTACGTGCAACGTGTCACGAGTTCGATTCCCGCACGGAACAACTCTTTGTGTGATCCACGAATTGTTGTTCCGGGTCTGGGTGTCATGTGTATGTGAAATTGTATGTTTGTAACCGCACCCACGACACAGGAGGAAAGACTAGTGTGGGCTAAGGTTCTTAAAAAAAGAAAACAACTGAATTCTTTGTCAGAGTCTGCGTGTTCATCGAAGGATATAACCTGGATGTCTTCAAGGCGCGAGTGAATAGGTTGCTTATGGGTATCGCTTATCACCAGGCACGACACAGTTGCCCATTTTCAAAAAAATTATATAGGTATATACGTAAATAAATAATATTTTTTTCACATTTTTTTTTATGTAGTAAGTCGGCAAACGAGCAGACGGATTACCTGATGGTAAGCAATCAGCGCCGCCCATGGACACCCGCAACGGAGGAGTTACAAGTGCGTTGCCGGCATTTTAGGGATTAGGGATTGGGGAAGGGTCCGGGAAGGGGAAGGATTGGGCCTCCGGTAACCTCACTCACACGGCGAAACACAACGCTGGGGTTGTTTCACGCCGGTTTTCTGTGAGGCCGGTCGGCTCGACCGGAGTGATACCGGAGTGGCCTTTTTACGAAGTTTTGTAGTGATATTGTATGTTGCTGTATACTTTTTGAAAATTACCAAGAAAAAGATGAAAAAAATATTAACTAATCAACTATGTGCACCTATGAATAGGCATACATATACCGCTACATCTACATATACCAGATAAAATTACAGACTCAAGTTACAAAACCACGTGTTAAACCGCTTAGCCCAAGGGAAATGTTTCTAATTTTATTTACCTCAGACTAGAGTAACTTTCTCATTGGTTTTCTGTGGCCAGTTAACCGTGGGAACTGATCGGCCGGACATTCGATTTAGAAGTTTTAAATTGTTTTAAATTACCATTAAGGAAGCTTGTTAGGCGACTTAGAACATTTCCTGCCGAGCCAAATTCAGTAGCGATAATCATTATCGGTTTCGCAAAGAAACAAAATGTTTTTCTTTTTTAAAACTTTGCCCCATACTAGGATTTTTTCCTGTATCGTGGATGCGAGTACAAACATATAATTTTACACACAAAAATTCGTTGATCACACAAAGAGTTGTTCCGTGCAGTGAACTGCAACTCGTTGCACTGTAGCCTGGTTGCCCTACCCCACGTCAACTATGTAGTTGTGTAGGAAATGTAAGGAAATTTATTCGTTTATGACGATTCTTGTCGACGACCTTGAGAAATCAATAAACATTTACAAGGCCAGGACTCTAGAGAAAATTATCTCCGGAAAAACGTTCCGTGAACATTCCGTGTCCGAGAAGTTCTAGTTTCTGCATCAGGTCCTTGGCCTGACCATTTTATACTAAAAATGTTCTTAAAAAATATAACATTTAATTATACTCGTATTTTAAATATTTAACAGTACTTAACGTAAAGACACTTACAAAGCACCTACTCGATGTTCTTAAAAATCAACTAAGTCCAATTTAAATTAAAAATACTCACTTTTCCCCAACAAATCCATGATAGAATCATCTTCTTGGGACGAACCATAGCCATTATGATATGACCCTTTGCGCCTCCCAAGAGCGCCTAGCATTAAAATATCTTTTTCTTGTTCATTTACAGGCCGTCTTCTGTCCGATGGTAGATCGACATCTTTATCGTTTAAACCTCCTTGTAACGTCAATACATCATCATCAACACACATAACATTAAAAAAACAACTTAAAAAAGCGAAAATAAACAATGAAGTTCTCAAAAACATCGTTGAATCAAAATTCCCGCGCAATCTTCTTCGAGTTTTGAAATTTTTTTTGTTAATATTAATTTTTCCCGCCACGGTCGTTCCATCGAGTCTGTTTTCGATTACACTTTTACACATTTCACTGGTTTCTATTACACTTCATTTTTTTTTTCAAATATGACACTAATTTTTTTTTCACTTTTATTTTTGTTTATTTGCGTGAGACGTCTTTACGCGGGAACTTGGCTATCGGAAGTAAACTGCGATCGCGTTGCGGTTCGTTCCTTTTCACTTTTCGTTAGGGTTCCACGAGAGTTTTACATTTTATTATCATTATTACTCAATTGCTTCTGTCATAAAAACCTTTTTACACTCTCTGTCAGCCATTTGTATTTATAATCTGTAATTTAATTGTTGTCATTAGGTCATTGACTGGTAATTTTCTTTTCGATTATTTTTGTGTTCTTTATTGTACAGAACTCAAAGTATTTCTAATGTTTTTATACAAAACAATGGTTGTAAATTTGTTCTTTTAGCGTGTTTATAGTGTGCGTGACATATAAGTAGAGGCAACGTGTAATAATAGTGTAATTCGCTGACTTAATGTAGTGTAAGTTTGTATGCAAGCAAAATTTTCCTAAGCCAACGATAATTGCTTCAACATTTTGACAGTTGCATGTATATATGGACGCGCTAATTTAGATATTTTACCTAATAACATACTTTTTTTTATTAGTTCATAACACACAGCTGTTTAAAGTAGGTAGATATATATTTCAACTTTTTGGTAATAAAAATGACCCAAATGACGAATTCGGGTTACAATAGTTATCTTACTATAAAAATAATAATATGTACGCTACTTAGGTTAGGTACTTGGCAAAATAAATATTGAATATTTTATGCAATTAGTTCAAGGAGACATATGTTCTTGATTATAATTACCTACCTAATCGATATTATATAATTACCTATTATAGAAATTTTATAACCAAAATTTTCTAGTTTGCACTCGTAATATTATTTTTAATAAATTAAATCTAAAACTAAATCAAAAGATAGACTTACAGGTTGCATATCTTAGGGCTGATTTTTCAATAGTCAGATAAATGTTATCTGAGAAATAAAATTGTTGCTGTCACTGTCTTATACAAACATTCTGGCGCGACAGCAACATAATTATTACCCAGGGAACTTTTATCTAACCATTGAAAAAATCAGCATTTAGTCATATTGTTAAAATGTGTATATACATATGTGGCACGTCTAACACCCGGTTTCTGAAAGGCTTGTCAACGCTAAAATTACCTAATCTCCTGTTAAATTTCTTGTCAAGTCATCTGATTGGTTGTTGATAATTCAGTCAACCAATCAGATGACTTGACAAGAGATTAAATTGATTTTAACATTGATTGGCCTTTCGGAAACCGGGGGTGAGTCAAATGTCAAAGTATGTCAATTACACAAGTACTTATTAATCGTCAAAAATAGAATAGCCTGTTCAATTTATCCGTCATTGAGTCTAGGGTAACCATGGAATCCAATTTTCGACGTTAACAACTTTTTTTAAGGAATATTTCGAAAACCGAGCTCAAGAATTTGCCGGATGGTAAATAATTGGCGCCGCCCATAGCCACTCTAAATACGAAAGGAGTTTACTACATACGCGCTCCCAATAAATTGTTCAACAAAACATATAAAATTCCAATAAGTACTGTTTCAAAATAGAATAAATAAAAACCATTTAACGGGCTTTTTTTCACAATATAAGAATTCGTGACTAAGGGCTAATTTTCAATAGTCCGATAAATGTTATCTTAGGAATAAAATTGTTGCTGTCACTGTCTTATACAAACATTTTGACGCGACAGCATCATAATTAATTTCCATATAACTTTTATCTAACCTTTGAAAAATCTGTTCTAAGACATTCTGTTGTTTCTTAGTAAACGTAAACATTCTTAGTAATTACTTCTCATTATTTTTTTACTGTGAATAATATAATAATGTCCAATTACGGTGCTTAATAAATAATTGGTGATCTGTTCTAGAAATTGGTTTGCCATTTAAAAAATTACTAGTAATGGATTCCTAAGTTATTGGTAATTTTACACAATCCTAAACAATATTATAAAGACTTTTTGTAGTCATGTCTAGTCGGTATGGTAGACAAAGTATATTCGTAACTGTCACAGCCCTATAAGAATGTCGTCGAAGGAAAATCATCAAATTATATCTCTCGCCCAGGGTATGGCGGGAGTAGTGTCAGATTCTTACTGAATATAACCTCCCGTTCCTTCTCCTGCTCCAGGCCAAGGCCGCGGTACTTTATTCGCTTGATGAGCGAAGGCCACTGACATGGCGTAATAGACAGATATTACTATAAGACATTTTCAACTTTAAAACTTTGGTAATAATGTTGAAAATGGTTCCATAGGTCAGATATTTGGAAACGGTGGGATATGCTGTGTGTGTCTTTATTGTTCACATAACAATTATGAATAATTGGTTAGGGCTTTATTAATATACACTTTTTGGCTTATTGTACTTCCACATCAGTGTACATCATCAGCCTAAAAGTACCTATTGCTGAGCAAAGGTCTCTTCTCACACGTGAAAGATTTAAGCACTAATCACCACGATTCCTCAAGGAAGCTTATCGATTTCAAAGTAATAATCTTGGCGATGTTTTCCGTCACAGTTTATCAGTGGCGTTTAAATAATCTTAGAAAGTTCATGTAACTTGGAAAAAGTCACATTGGTACTTAACAGGTTTAGAACTCGCACCCTCATGCATGAGAAGCTACTGCCTTCATCATTAGATAGCTTTGACAGTCTGATACTGACTCACTTAATATATTTTTTTTATACAATAGATCGGCAAACGAGCGTACGGATTACCTGATGGTAAGCCGCAACACCAAGGGAGTTACGAGTGCGTTGCCAGCCATTTCGGGATAAGGGTTTCAGACATTTAAGGATTGGGAAGGGATGGGGGGAGGGGGTGATTGAGCCTCCGGTAACCTCACTCACACGGCGAAACACAACGCTGTGGTTGTTTCACGCCGGTTTTCTGTGAGACCGTGGTATCACTCCGGTCGAGCCGACCCATTCGTGCCGAAGCATGGCTCTCCCACACTTGCCCAATTTATTTTTCTAACAATATTTTTGTGTTGTTTAGTGACATAAGAATGGGATATAGTCTCACCGTTTTCCTATAAGCATCGCAAGAGCTGATTGTTTTTGACAGAGGTCAGATTCCAACGCTCAAAAAGTCAAAAGTCAAAAATCATTTATTCCAATTAGACCTTTACAGGCACTTTTGAACGTCAAACAAAATTTAAAATAAAAAATAGTGTCAGTCCTTCGGTCAGTCCTCTTAGTGAAGCTATTTGCTCGTTCCAAAGTGTAGATTCCGATGGAGAAGAACGAGCAAGAAACTCCATGGTTACTCTTTTTAAATCAGTTTCACATACAGATTCCTTTTACAAACAGTTGGTTCAATTATGTGAGAGCTCTCTCAACCTTCTCTAGTTAACCTGAACATTTAGAATTGCCATCTTCAATCTGATTGGTAAAAGAGGTGATTATGGGAACCCACTTCTATGATAAAGGTCGATATTTCAGTGATCATGATGATGATGATGATGATTAATTAATTTATGCATTGATTACTAACCAATAACATTAAAGTCAATAAGAAAAAGATTCTTAATCGTACAGCCTTCACAATATTTCCATATTAAGTACTGAATAATGAGATTCAAACAGTTTTAATGCGCATTCAAGTATCAAGATTGAGTGGTCACACTTGAACACTCATAAGAAGCCGACTTTCGCCGTAGCTTTCCAAAACATGACTTTAAATGGTTGAAAAACGTCGTAAGTAATATAACATTGAATAAATTTAGATTTTATACATAAAGCTATAGCGTCTAAACTCATTTGACCGCTGGTCATCGGTGACAAATCCCTCTGATGTGTCTGATTGATTTAGAGTATAATGAAAGTTGGAAAAATCGACTTTATTGTCTTCGTTTGAAGGTTTGATTCGCTTTGTTGTGTAGTCAGGATGTAATTTGTCAATGGTTAAGTTTGCTTTCTTTACTAATGACATCTGTTATGGTTAATTTTGTTGTATTGCATTATCTGTGGCTAATTCATTTTTGATAGGGCTTCGTAGTAAGTACATTTTGGCGGGAAGTGGGTCGATTATAACAATAAAAAAGGTTAATTTTACCATTTTGTAATTGTGTTTTAAGAAATATTTCTTAACTGTTCTGTTTACGATCAATTTTCGATGAATGAAATTATAGTTAAATCGTTTGAAAGTTTCCCTTGAGGTGTTTTGAATTTATACATAACTAGCTTTTGCCCGCGACTCCGTTTGCGTGAAATAGTGACTTCCTGTAGATTTTTGGTATAAAAACTATCTATGTCCTTTCTCGGTTCCAAACTATGTATTTACCAAATTTCACAGAAATCGGTTCAGTAGTTTAGGTGTAAAGAAAAGTCAGACAGACAGACAGAGTTACTTTCGCATTTATTTATAATATATCGTAATATTTAGTAAAACTATTGAAAATAACGACTTTATGTGCATTAAGTGAGAAAAGCTCTACTAGTTTCAAGTGACATCGGGTCTCTTATCCATGAGTAGCGTGCGCGTTCGGGCAACGAACATCGCGTTTTCATTTGACTTATAAGTAAGTCACTTTTAATAAATTAAGATAATGGTCGCATGTCAAATAAGTCCTTTTGAATCCGCCTGTACATGTTATTGTGTAAATATTAAATTAAATAAAAAATATAA